AAATAAGCTTTCCATCAATATATAGCTTTGTGTTGTTCAGTAAATATTTTATATGAAAATATCAGTTTAGAAAATCAATGCCAAAAACGTGTACAGCATCCTTAAGTGATAATAATTAATAACAGGAAAAAAACACACACGTTCAGGACAAGATTGTTTCACTTAAAGCACTGTTTGTAAGATGGAAACAAAAATATTCTAGATATTACATGTGTCAGTTAAAACTTGTGCACATCTTTTTTTCTTTTTTCTTTTTTTTTTTTTTGGAAAAATTTGGAGAAAAAAAAATTAAACACAAATGAAAGCAATTTTTTGATGAAAATTCAATAATCTGAATAAAAAATACATGTACATGTATATCCAATACATGTGCATCGACAACAAATTTATTAAAAAGTTTGTTTATCTTTCTTTCAGGAATCTGGATCCTTTAACAGAAACTGTATCCTTTAAAATTTCTTGCAATGTTTTGTGTGGATTTATAAAAATGTGTGTAATACATAGAAGGGTCTAAAAGTGATGATCATTAGGATCTGGTAATCTAAAAATGAATAAAACTGTCAAACCATCAAATGTTCTCTGTCTGCAATTTCCAGGATTAGAAAATGAAAATGTGCAACTGATTTTGTTCTGATGGATTGAATGTGCATGTTTTGTTTTTGCTTTTTTAAATATTTTTGTGTCAGGCTTCAGTTCTTCGACACTGTCACTGTTCTATCCTGACATTTTTTTTTTTTGCTGTTAATGCAAGTGCGAGTACTGACATATAACTGGGTATATAAATGTGGACTGGATGTTTTTACTCGTCAGAAAACAATGAACTGAATAAATCTGTAGTCACGAAAGTTATATGATATGATATACTAATAATGTCTAATGTTATGTCAGCTATTTAATGAATTTGTTTGTAAAGCGGCTGTTTAACGACCATATTTGAATATACAGTCAATATTTGAATGTATAGTCAATATTGGTGCCAAAGTTTTAATATTAAAAATTGAAAACTTGGTCACCAATAGATGACAATACAGTTTGAAATAATTTATAACTGTGTATGTGTGTGGCTGTAATTTACTAATATTTATCAAAAATCCAGTGAATTTTGTGTCCCTACATCTTGCAATCAGTATGGTTTACCATTTTACATGCAATATTTAGCACGCTGGCCTGAGTATTTTCAAGTGGCTGAATCACCCGATGGACGTATTATGGGATATAGTAAGTCTTGACTCGCTAGCCGCATAATAATATTCCACTGCCATTAGTTCATTTAATTTCAAATATTTATACCGGTATATGACATACAAATGCATGTAACCAGAGCTGTATGGAGTTTTAAAAGTATCGTAACATGATCAGTAAATCCTGTACAAATGCCATGTAATTACCCTGTTGTAATGCAATGATGTTCATGGCGTGTTTGATTATTACAATTTTAGTGAAACATAAAACAAATTAGGGCTGAGAGATGGTCTCTTGTTGAATCAATTATTGTAGCCACACTAATTGCACAATAATCATTTATCAACATATTTGACTTCCCTTCTGTCTGATGTTGTCACACTAGAATATTGTGGTGTTTACTAGTCCTATATCTGGTTTCAGAAGTCACCAGCCGTATTTTGGGTCAAATTGGTTTGTTTCTTTATTTCAGTTATGGGAAAGGCTGAAGGGTCAGGTGAGAATTGGCACGGTCATGTGACAGCTTTGACAGTAGCGCCAGAGTACAGAAGATTAGGTCTTGCTGCCAAACTTATGGAGGTTTTGGAAGAAAGTTCAGAACTGTAAGTGAATCTAGCTGTACGATATTGTAGAAAAGTACTTTATAACATTTAACACTAATACTGTCATATTTCACTCAGGTTCACTATACAAATATAGGTTTTTTAGCTCTGCTGTCGACTTTGTCGAGTGGAGCTTATCATACGAGTGATTGTCCGTCGTCGTCGTCCGTGTCAATGTTTTACTTTTTCGACTTCTTCCTGAAAACTACAAGTCTAAATGCTTTGATACTTGGTGTATATGTACCTTGGGTAGACCTCTCTTAGGTTTGTTCATTTCATGTTGATATCTTTAATTCTCTAATTTTGGTGAATATTTTTGTCATTTTTGGTAAAAACTGATATTTTCGACTTCTTGTTAAAAACCGCAAGTGCAATTGCTTTGATATTACATCTATAGGTACTACATATGGACCTCTCTCAGATTTGTTAATTTTGTAATGATATCTTTAATTCTTTAATTTTGGTGAATATTTTTGTCATTTTTGGTAAAAACTGATATTTTCGACTTCTTGTTAAAAACCGCAAGTCCAATTGCTTTGATACTACATATATAGGTACTACATGTGGACCTCTCTCAGATTTGTTCATTTTGTGATGATATCTTCAATTCTCTAATTTTGGTGAATATTTTTGTCATTTTTGGTAAAAACTGATATTTTCGACTTCTTGTTAAAAACCGCAAGTCCAATTGCTTTGATACTACATATATAGGTACTACATGTGGACCTCTCTCAGATTTGTTCATTTTGTGATGATATCTTCAATTCTCTAATTTTGGTGAATATTTTTGTCATTTTTGGTAAAAAGTGATATTTTCGACTTCTTGTTGAAAAACTGTAAGTCCGATTGTTTTGATATTACATATATAGGTACTACATGTGGACCTCTCTCAGATTTGTTCGTTTTGTGATGATATCTTCAATTCTCTAATTAATTTATTTTGGTGAATATTTTTGTAATTTTTGGTAAAAAGTGATATTTTCACTTCTTGTTAAAAACTGTAAGTCCGATTGCTTTGATACTATTCATATTGTTCATTTTCTAATGATGTCTTCATTCTTTAATTGAAATGTGCATTGCTAACAGCGGAGCTGTCTCAGCCGATAGGCTGCTTGTTGAAACTCACGATAATGGAGCAATGTGAGTGATTAAAAAAGATTGTCTGAGACATGTTTTTTAAAGTTTCAGCAGTTTCAGTAATTTGTCCAATGCAAGTATAAAGGTGAGGGAACATTTCTTGCTTGAAAACTTTTCTCTGCGTTCAGGTCACATGGATGCAGATAAAATTAACAAGGGCATAATTTGTACTGCAAAGAGATTTCAATTTTTCGGTTTTGTAGATATTGCACAAAATAAATGTTGTGATTTGCCAAATTATCTGTAGCAGGAACAATGCTA